TTGATAAGTTATAGCAAAATAACAGAAAATAATAAGATTATTTCTCTAGGTAATATTTCAAAAGTTTTTGATAAACTTGGTAATATAACAGCAGTTGCTTTAAAAAATAATGGCTTATATATTATGAAAAGTAAATTAAAATCAGTTGAATTGCATGTAAATGTTGCAAATAAAGATATGAATAATATGAATCAAAAGGAAAAATGGCATCGTTTATTAGGTCATGTAAATTTTAAATATTTGAATATTTTATCTAAAGATCAGCTGTTGAATGGAATTCCTAATGAGTTTGAATCTGAATTTATGAAATGTAAGATTTGTATTGAAAGTAAAATGCATAATATTCCGTTTGTAAACAGTAGAAAAAAAGCTAAAGATATTTTAGAGATTGTACATACTGATGTTTGTGGGCCTTTTCGAACTACTGGGTTTAAAGGTGAAAATTATTTTGTTTCTTTCATTGATGATTATAGTAAGATTTCTAAAGTATATGCTATAAAATCAAAAGCAGAAGTATGTGATTGTTTGAATGAATATACGAATGAAAGTGAAAATTTGACTGGAAAGAAAATAAAGATTTTAAGATGTGATAATGGGAAAGAATATTTGAACAGTAAAGTCTACAGATTTGCAAAAGAAAGGGGTATAGTAATTGATAATTGTCCTACATATGTACATGAATTGAATGGGACTGCAGAACGGTTTAATCGAACTATAATGGATATGTCAAGATGTTTGTTGGCTGAAGCAGATATTCATAAAAAATATTGGCCTGAAATAGTTTGTGCTGCGGTTTATTTGAAAAATCGTACTTTATCTGATACAATTGAAAAGAAAACTCCATATGAAATATTTTTTGGACAGAAACCTGATGTTTCTAATTTGCGTTTGTATGGAAGTAAAGTTTTTGTACGAAGACCAGAACAGAAGAGAATCTCTAAATGGGATAAGAAAGCTGATATGGGAATTTTAATTGGTTATAGTAATGTTGGTTATCGTGTATTATTAAATGGCAGAGTCATTGTTGCTAGACACGTGGATATTGTTGAAGAAAACGTTAAGTGTATAGGTTTAGACTTTAACGAATCAGATAATGATAATAATGAAGAGTGTTACCCTGATAAAATTGATGAAAGCTCTGAAAATGACTCAATAGATGAAACTTTTGAAAGTACAAATGAAAGTATGGATGATAGTGTGAATAAAAATGAACCTGAGTTACCTAGATCTCACAGAGCCAAAAATCCTCCAAAGAAATTTGATGACTACTATGTATATAATAGTAGTATTTTTGTAAATATGTGTAGAACTGATATACCACATACATTTGAGGAGGCGATAAATTCTAATGAAAGTAAGTATTGGAAAACAGCTATGGACAAAGAAATTGATAGTTTAAATAAAAGTAAAACTTGGAAATTGGTTAAAAATGATACAAACAAAAATATTCTGGATGTTAAATGGGTTTATACTAAAAAGTCTGATAATACTTATAAAGCTAGATTGGTTGTACGAGGTTTTCAACAAACTGATGAAATTGATGATATTTATTCACCTGTGGCTAAAATGCAAACATTAAAGATTTTATTGTCATATTGTTGTCAAATGGGCCTAGTAATTGAACAAATGGATGTTGAAACAGCCTTTTTAAATGGTAAAGTAATTTCTGAAGTTTATATTAAACAACCTAAGTGTTATGAAGATGGAACAAGTAAAGTTTGTAAATTAGTTAAAGCTTTATATGGTTTAAAAGAAAGTCCAAGGGCATGGTATGAGTGCCTAGATACATTTTTGATAAATTTAGGTTTTGAAAGAAGTAATATTGATCCTTGTTTGTACGTTTATAAAATTGGAAATGATATTATTTACTTATTAATTTATGTCGATGATTTATTGATTTGTGGTAGAAATTTAAATGAAATTAAAAGGATTAAAATTTTATTATCAGAAAAATTTAAAATGAAAGATATTGGTGAAATTAAAGAATATCTTGGTATTACTGTTGATTATGATTCTAGTAAACATGAAATGAGATTGGATCAAAATAAATATATTGAATTATTAAGGAAAAAATATAATTTAGAAAAAGGTAAACTGTATAATACACCTATGGAAGTAAATTTAAAAATTGATAAATCTGATCATTGTGAAAGAAATATTAAATATAAAAATTTAATTGGTGCACTATTATACATAAGTTCGGCAACAAGGCCTGATATAAGTTTCAGCGTAAATTATCTGAGTAGATTTCAAAATTGCTATAATGAAACGCACTTTAAATATGCTGTACGAATTTTGAAATATTTATGCTTAACTAAAGATTTAAAATTGTTTTATAACAGAAATGAAAAAGTAAGTATTATTGATTGTTATGTGGATGCCGATTGGGCAGGTGATCATTTAGATAGAAAGTCTACAACTGGTTTTGTAATAAGATTGTTTGGTAATGTAATTTATTGGAAATCTAGAAAACAAAAAAGCGTTACAAAAGCTTCAACTTTTGCAGAGTATGTAGCATTGTCAGAAGCAGTAAGTGAATTGATATTTGTAAAAGAATTGTTGAAAATATTTGATATTGAAATAATAAAGCCAATTGATGTTTATGAAGATAACACTGGTACAATTAGTATAGCTAATTATGGCAATTTTACAAAAAATTCTAAGCATGTTGAAATTCATTATCATTATGTAAATGATTATGTTAAAGCAAATGTTATAAATGTGGTTAAAGTAGATTCTGATGATAATATTGCAGATATTTTTACGAAGTCCTTGGGCCAAGATAAATTTGAAAAATTTCGAAGTATGTTAAATTTGAATTAATGTAAATACAATGTAAATGTAAGGAGGCGTGTTGAGAATGTAATACATTTATATTGTATACACAGATATATTGGTGTAAGAGTAAGCGGAACGCACCCATAGTGTCATGGGTTGACATGACAGACAATAATAGTAATGTCAATGAGTATCATGTAGTTGTAGGTGGTAGTAAGAAGTATGGTGGCTTAAGTTAGGTTAGTTAATTAGTATGTATGTTATAGGAAATAAAGCCTTTTATAATAGTAGTAAAGTACGACTATTTATTTTCCAAATCCACACCTTAACAGATACTTAATTCAACTTTTCAATCAACTAGATATCCTATTTAATATTTATTTTTCATTTTCAATCTTCATTTATTTCAGTTATATTTCCTACATTTGAGTCTAGTCTGTTCTATGTCACATTATACATTTCTATGCCTCACTTCAATTATTTCGCAACTCTGCTAACAAAAATGGAAAAAATACTAAATTTTCTTCATTGTATGCGTTTATGTTGTTTCTATATTAAAATAAATTTGAGTTGAGATTCTTGACTTCTTTATCCATGACGAAAAATATATTATTTCGACTTTGAAGTTGGTGAATAAAGGTGTTAAGTACACAAAAGTCTAGGTGCACAAAATCTTGCTGTTTCTTTCTAACATTATAATTAACAAAAGAACATAGCCTACAATTATCTATTTTTTAAGGTCTCACTCATCATCATCAACATCTTTGGCTCGATAATCCTGTGTGGATCCTGGCTTGCTCTAAGAATAGTCACATTCTGTTTGGTTTCTGACAAAATTTAGCTATCTTCTGATGTCTAGTATCTCTAAGTCGGTCTCAACTCCATCTAACCATCTCATTCTCGTCCTCTGCTTCTTCTTCCTATAGGTGTTTTTGTCATTAGCTTTGAAACTAACAAGGTCTCACTCATTGGAATTAAAAACAAAAATGAAAATGCGACATGACACCTTTATCCACTCATGTCTTCAATTATATGTATGTTTGTTGTTGAACACTTTCAATACCACATTTTCACTGAAATACGAGGTGTGTTCAAAAATTAACTGAAATTTTCGTTTTTTGAAAAAAATACGTATTTATTCGTCTACCTTAATGCTGTCCCCTTCAAAGTAATCCCCATAAGATATTATGCACTTGTTCCAACGTTACTGCCAATCCCTGACATACTTCTCAAACTCGATCTTTGGGATAGCCTTATTTCAGCCTCTTTGGAATAGTTCTATAGCAATAATAATATTACAAATGCGGATGATACGGTCATATTTGCAAGTGACATGTAAGATCTATAGTACATAATACAACATGTATACAATGCATATGAAAGGTACTGTATTCTCAAAAAAAACCACAAAATGTAGATAACCTGATCATCATTAATACAACGATCAAAAGAATAACAACATATAAATATTTAAAAACGTGGCTAAGCGAAGATGGAGATCAAACAAAAGAAATCAGATCTAGAATAGAAATGGCACGAAACACGTTCATAAAATTGAAGAACTTACTTTGCAACCGTGACCTTAATGTAGAGATCCGCACAAGAATGCTACGTTGTTACGTTTTTTCTACTTTACTATACGGCATGGAAGCGTGGACAATAAAACAGTCTGAAATCAAAAAATTAAACTCCTTTGAGATATGGTGATAGAGGAGAATCCACAGAATATCGTGGACTGAAAAAGTAACTAATATAGAGGTATTACAAACAATGAAGAAAGAATGTGAAGTGATAAAAACTGTTAAAATTAGAAAGATTCAATATCTGGGTCATACAATGAGGGGCGAGAAGTATGTATTACTTAGGATAATTATGCAAGTGAAGAGAAACCCAGGACGACACAAAAAATCCTGGCTAAGAAATTTGAGAGAGTGGTTCAGTTGCAGCTCATTAGAATTATTCAGAAGCGCGGCCAATAAAATTAAAATAGCGATGATGATTTTCAACCAACGATAGGAGAAGGAATCTGAAGAAGAAGGGTAGTTCTATCAGCGATGCACTTTTAATGTCATCTATGGTTGTGAAACGACAACCCTTTAAAGTTTTCTTAATTTTTGAAAATAGGAAAAAGTTACACGGAGCCAAGTCTGGTGAATATGGAGGCTGGGGCATCATTACAATATTGTTTTTGGCCAAAACTATGCTAAACCCATGTTTCGTCACCTGTTATAACCCTGTTGAGAAAATCTGAGTCGTTGTTTACATCATTTAGTGAATCCTGAGCAACTTCCATTTGCCACTGTTTTTGTTCAAAATTCAACAATTTTTGGAACAAATTTTGATGACACGCATTTCATACCCAAAATGTTCTAAAAAATGTCATGGCATGAGCCAATTAATATGCCAACTTCATCTGCGACTTCTCTGATTGTGATTCAGCGGTCATTCATAATCATTTCTATCACTTTTTTACATTTTCATTATTTCTAGATGTGCTGGGGCGTCTGAGGCGTTCATAATCTTCAATGGTCACCTTGGAAACGCTTATACCACTCGTTTTTTTTTATAACATGTTTATTTTTCTTAACACTTAATTGGCATTTTTTACACAAAATTCAATACAAATTGGACTTTCCAAACCTGCGAAATTGAAAAATTCTGGGTATTTTTTGAACAAATCTCATAGATGACATGTATTAGTGTGAACAATACTGCGAAAATATAAAACAGTTTTCAGTTATTCCTATATACATAACAAATAATATAATAGAATGAAAGTTTAAATAAGTTTTATAAAAGTGCCAAAATAGAAAACAAATAAAAATCCTTTTGACTGCTTCTGTGCAGAAAATTGACATGTAGTTGTATCAATCACAAGGCTCCTCAATAGGTTCCTCTATCGGTTGCATACTTTCAAAAAGAAATTTGACGACTCCTCCTGCCATTTTACTTCCATAATGTCCTTTCCAAAATTGTGTGTCGACACCTTCATGTTGAAATACTAGCGTTCTAAGGGATTTATCATATTCTTCTACCATTATCTCCATCTGTAATGCATATAGACGAAGTAAGTAAATTTACTTAGTACAATACAATACAACAGGTAATATATACATTTTACAATAGGTAGAATGCAAGAAATAGCCCCGGAAATGAAAAAATATAAACTAGAAATTTTACCTCTGCAGGAAACACAATGGAAGAATCAAGGAAAAAACTTTACTATGTACTAGTTAGGAGACAACAAACAGGGTGAAAAATGGGACAGATTTTATGGCGAATAGAAGATTAAGAGAAAAAGTAATACAATTCAAAGCAGTTAAAGGAAGGATATCCTATATAAAAATAGATTATAAACAAGCAAACATATAGATATTTAACTGCTATATGCCTACAGAAGAAGCGACCCAAGAAGGCAAAGGGGCATTTTATGATATCCTAGAGTAAAAATATCCACAGAAATGACATCTTAATAATAATGGGTGACTTTAATGCAAAGGTGAAAAGGAAAGATTATAATCAGAATGTAGCGGGTAAAGAAACAATATATGAAAAGAAACAATACATGAAGCCACAAATGATAACGAAGGAAAAATGTGCAACCTAGCATCTGCAAAAAACAAATATAGTCAGTACAAAATGCAAATACACAAGAGAACACAAGATAACATGGATGATACCGGGCAGAACAGATGGTAATCAAATAGACCACCATATGTTAATTTCGAAAAAATGGACACAAACGGAATAAGATGTGTATTAATAGCAAAATTAAAGATGAAAATCAAAAAAATAATACAATGTCATAAAAAACAAACTAAAGCCACCAGAGAAAGCTTATTAAGAATTTATACAACATGGAGGTTAAAAGGAAGAGAGTTATTAGAAATAAATTAATGTTAACTTACCTTATTCCATTCTTTACCTTCCCATTGCCTTATAACAACAGGTTTTAAAACAGAAAACAAAACAGTTTCACCATTATTTTCATCTTCTTCTGCCAAATCCTCCACTGGTTTCTGCATACTTTCAGTAGCAAGACCTTTAATTGTTAGTTTATACTCACAGCCACAATCAAATCTCCCAGAGTACCATTCACTTACATAAATATGGGGCTTAAACTTATTTATTACATACCTAAGAAGTCGTTTGTCTTCCAAACGTATTACCTAGAAGCACCAAAAATGTTACTCAACTTCAATTATCTTTTCCTAAATTCAGTTTCAAATTTACCAACCAACTTACCTGTATTTTATTGCATTCGTAAAATGAGGTTGCAAAACAGCTCTTATACCCATAAAATTCTGGAACACCCTCTGGAAGGGGATCACTTCCTTTAGGGACTTTTTCTATACTAAATTGATCACCAAAATTCGTTAATATTGTCCAATGCTTAAATTCTTCCTGTCCATTACCATTTTTTATTAGGTTTTTAAAATTATCTGTTGAATAATATAAGTAGTACACATACCAAGGCAACCTACAAGAATTTTCATAAGCCCTTGTAAACTTCTGTTTTTGAAAAAGCACCATATGATCATATTGTATATGTTTTAACATGAATCTCAAACAATATTGTTTGAAAGAGCAAAAAGCAACAAATATTATATCATCAATTTTATTATAAAACAATAAATCATCAAAGCTCTATAGTTCAGGTGTCTAGAGGCACAGAAAAAAATGAATCAATAAATTTACTAGACAGTTGAGATTGGGTTTTGTGGACACAGTATACACAATTAACTTGACAACAATTTTACTCCTATCCATTTTTGTTATAGTTTGGAACAGAGGCCTTTAGGTTGATTTTTCGATAACTTTTCAATTAGGTCATATTAAAAATCTAGCTATAAACAATTTTCTAGAGACATTAATCTTAGTTCTGGCTCAGTACAACGAGTACAACCAACTTAAGACATTTTTTTATATATACTGAACAGACTAAGAATTAAACAAACGAAAAAATTTATGAATTCCAAAAGAAACAACTCTACAACTAAGCAACATTGTTAAGTAAAAAAAAACAAATAATAAAAACTAAATTTAAATCTGTTACCATATAAATTACATGACATTTCAATGTTTAGGATTCATACAGATTTACAAAAATTGCAACTAATTATTTTATCATCACAAGGCTATAATAGTTTACCGTTTTACCTTTTAGCTTTATTAGGAAATTGATTATTATATACATCCATCCAAAGGCTATCTGATTTAATAATGTTACACCACTTTTTACACACTAAACTTAAAGGTAATAATTGCTCAGGTGGAAGGAACGTAAGAATTTTTATTATAATTTCCTCTGGAAAATAGACATTATTCAAAAATAACCCATTGCTGCTCTCATCTTCAAGAGGATCGTGAAACTTAAATTCCTCAACAGGTACATATAATTTGGGTATTTTCGCTTCTTTAGCGTTGGGTACTTCCATTGTATCAAAATATTTAGATTTAAAACTACCCATAATCTATTTTATTACTTTATCATAGTTTAATCCCTTTCAAAATAAAAATGACTCAGAAAATATTTTTACAGCTGAAAAATCACAGTATAACCAACATTCCGCATATAAACTGTTAAAAATATATGTTTCTTCTTTTTGTAATATGAAGAAATGTTTGATTATATTCCATAATTTCCGTACGAGATGTCACCACGAATAAAAAAAAAAATGTAATTTGTTATTAAAATTAAGCCTTATCTTTTAGCTTTAATAAATAAGCCACTAATTTTTCTAATAATAATTAGTACAAATTTGTAGATTTAAATTTGAAACGTTTACTCTTTTTCTTAATTTCTTCTTGACAGATAGAAGAGTTTCTTACGAGAGCTTAATTTCCCGACTAGGCACCCCCCACCATCTAAGCTTTTGGGAATGGAACAGTTTGAATTTGACAGTTTGACATTTATGAATTTGTTTGGACTTAACCTAACTTTATTTGATATCTTATGTTTATATTTGGTGTCTTATTATTATTTTTTTATATAAATGCCTGTAACGTGTAAATATTGTGATAAAATGTTTTCAAGACAATTTACTTTAAATAGACACGTCACACAAATTCATTTTAAACAGATTGAACGCATATTTTATGCTAAAAATGTATGGGGTTTTAAATGTTTGGAACTTGATTGTGATAATTCCTTTCAGCAAGGAAAATTTTTAATTATTCATTTGGAAAATGTTCATAATTTAAAGTTTGAAAGTCAAACAATTAATTTTACAAATATGGATGGTAAGTTTTATTTTAATATTTAATTTAGTAGATATATTTTGTTAAAATATTGTAGAATATTTCTATGTACTTAATAAAATATAATTAAAAATATATAGTAATGGACATTTCCTAATTTAATTTTTTTTTTGTTTAAGAATTTATTATTTTGAAACAATCAATGGAAGAAACATCCTGCAGCTTCTATGTTGTGTCTAAATACAAGCAAGATAAAAATATTACGTACTTTAATTGCAATCAGAGCAAAACATGTAAGTAAGACACTTAACCGATGATAACTTCATATTAGATGGATACTATATAATTATTTATAATTTAATTTTTTTTCTTTGTAGCTCGTGATGGAAAGCAAGTATTAAATAAGCAATACAAGCATAAAAATCATGATTATTTCTGTACCGAACAACAATTATCTTTACCCTCACTTAAGAACCGTCGTGACATGTCAGGAGCTATATTTATATATAAGATCATACATGGATTTATTGATTGTCCAAACCTGTTAAGCCAGATTAACTTTAATGTTCCCCATCAAGCTCTAAGGTACCACAATGTTTTCAATATTCCTTTCCACAGAACAACCTATGGTATTCACAACCCATGGAATAGATACAAGGGGCTATTAAATGATCGCGATTTTGATATTTTCAATATAACTTTAACTCAGTTAAATTTTGTTCTTGTTATACTTTGTTTGTTTTTTAGTATGTAAGATTTTTAGTCTCATTTTTTTAAACTTTTTAATATTGATTTTATATAGCAATTTCAAGTTTTGAATCCTAACTGTGATATTGTATATTGTAATTTAAACTGTTAATGGGGTTATCCTGTGTATTAAATAAATAAATAGTACACTGACTGTACTATTTAAATAAAAATTAAAATACCTAATTGTTATATACTACATGCATCTTGTATTTATTTCACCTTTCCCTAAATTGGAAACAACTGTAAAATGTTGTGGTACATATACATTGTATACCCTGTATATTATACAGGGTGTTTACAGTCTTGTGATTTTTTTTATAGGTAATAGTTTATCAAAAAATAATGGTATGTCATCTAATAACACAAGAATATTCTTATGAAATTTGGTAAGCATTATTTATGGATTGATTGTACAGCTACTACAAGTTTTGTTATAAGAGATATAAAGAAAATTCGAAAGGTTGTTATAAATAGAATTTACTTACAAAAAATGGTTTTGGAAATTGCATATTACAGAGGCATACTGAAATTTTTCTTTAAATTATAAACAACATATCCCGGATCTATGTAACATATTTAGATTATTACACGGTTCTTATACATGTAGTGGCCATTCAATCTATACGTCATGTACAGCAAATTTCATTTGAATATTCTAATGCGCTAAAGAGATATTACAAAAAAATCTAAATTTTTGGAAACTTCAATGGCCTGTATTTGAGAAAGGAACCAAATTCGATCATCCACTATTCTACAAATACCGTTATTGCTGACAACACCACTTAAAAATAAAATCGCAAGACTGTAAACACAGTCTATACATTGTAATATTTTCTTCTTAAGAATATGACTATTTACCTCATATCTGTTCTGTACAAGCGTAAATGAAGTATATTATACCAATCATTATTATATTGGAAATTTTTTTAAGTTTTTTTACAAACTAAAATAATGAAATGATTAAAGGTAGCAGGTGTTATTATTTACAGTTTTCTAAATAAAAATTATTATTAAAAAATTAAATTAGTATTTATAATTAATTCTGTAAAAAATATAGATATAGATTGTGTTACCAAAGTATGTATACGAATAAAAAAAACAAATGTTCAATACAATAAGGACCGATTGTTCGAAGGCTAATTAAAACTCAAATATTTAATTAAAATCAAATAGGAAACATTTTGAGGTTATGTTGACTGATTTATTCAATTGTATGATTTTGCTTTTTAATTTAAAATAAACCATAATTAAACTCTTTCTGATGTTAATTTCATGTTTTTATTTACAAATCAATAATAATAAGCAATTTTGACAACAGCTTTGATGTATTTGCAAATTCAAGTTTTGATTAGCGTTCGAACTACCGGTCCTAGTCCTAATTGATACCATGTATTTCAAACTTCCCGCCATTCGTTAGATCCGTGCAAATATAAACAGTAGTGGGGGGTGCTGAGTCGGGAAATTAAGCTCTCGTGAGTTTCTTTGACCTTTTGACAGGGCATTTTGTCCAGAGAACGAAATATTGCATTGGCAGTGTTGCCAGTGTATGCAATGTCCTTAAGGCAGCTTTACATCTAGGCCACAGAATAATAAACAATCAGAAGGGCCACTCTCAGATGCCGCCTTTGAAGTTTTTCAGCACGCGCGCCATGTTTTAGGAGGACAGACATATGATTTGTGTGGTTATGTAATTGTTTATATTTATGTTTAATTATATTATATTTATGTTATTATATTTAACAATGTTAATATAATTGTATAGTATGTCTATGATTGCCGTAAGTCAAATAAACCTGGTTAATTTTTCCATGCACACCACATAAACAACACTAATTTCTTTAAAATCCTCCTAAAACATGGCGGAACGTCTGCGCGGAGGAGATGCGCGTACTTAATTTTCCGTGGAGAGTGGGTATTCTGTTTGTTTATTATTCTGTGTCTAGGCTATGCAAGTCTCATGCTATGCAAGTCCGTCTTGCATGGCACATCTCTTGCCTAGCTTGACCTTTTTACATCAGAGATATTTCTGTGCAATTTAAATTAGATCCCAGTTTCATTGTTGCCAACAGAGAAAAGATTTATCAATTTGAGGTTATTTTATTTTAAATCAATATAATTAAGTACTAAAATAAATATACACTATTTATGGTTATTAAAAGGGTGAAGGATGTCAACCAAAGAAAAGAAAACATTGTTATTGTTGAATATTGCTGTTGTAGCAACAATCATCCATAGTCAACGACTCACCCAGTCGTTTTTTACATTAGGCTTGTGTAGTTCATGAGCGAACTAGTTCAAAGATCCGGCTCCAAACGCTGAACTAAATGAACTAGTTCGTCAGAGCTGGCTTAAACCGTTCACTCGTTCTGCTGAGCCGTTTAGGAGCCGTCTCGGAGTCGAAGCTTCGCGTTTCGTTTGTTAATCGGTCAGGAGCGGTTCAGTTCGAATTTTCCGAGTTCAGACGCGACGAACGAAATAAGTGAGCTGGGAAGCTGAGCTGGTAGCGGGTAGGAAGGAAGAACATGAAAAGAACTAACCATCTATTTAGGAACTAATATGTGGACGATTAGTAGAAGTGGGTGAGCGCTGAAACTGCTGAGAAATCATTTAGTTGAGATTATAATTTCAAGTTTGTGGTGCGTTTTATTTTTATTATATAGATAATTTAGTTTACTTTACCGTGAGGGTGTTATCAAAAATAAACTTATGTACAAAAGATAAAATAATCTTACATTTTGCTCATGTGTAAATAAATCGCTCATGCTTAGTAATTCTTTGAGTTAATGAACTAGTGAACTAAAAGAGCGACCTAGTTCACTTCTCACATTTGAACTAAACTGAGCGCTCTTTATGATGAACTATTATGCCCAAGCCTATTTTACATTAACTTTAGACATAGTATATCTATTTATCACCACTTAATAAACTTAATTTAAATCAAAACACAACAATACACACGTGGGCTAAGGGACGCTAAAGACAGAGATAAGGTTATGTTTTATTCTGCAATCTATTATAAATTCTTATGTTGGCAACATGAATTTTAACGATAAATTGCAAGAAAATAGCATGAAAAATAGAACATGTTCTCATTTTTCGTCTAGCATAGGAATTGCATGGAAATAGCTCGTGGGCATGCGCAGTTCCATGATCTGTCTTGCATGGCTCTTGCCTAGTATGAAAATAGCATAATGTAAAACTGTTCATAATATCGATGGCCTGGTTCCAAAAGTGGCTAACTACAAAATCGTCATTTTCGATTAAACGAAATTTTAAATTTAACCCTGTCGATAAAATCAGGTCTTTCAAATCGAATTAATTATTGTTTCTCTATAAAATATTAGGTAGTATACTGACAAACACTTTAGATGTATGAATAATAAATAGTCTTCTTTAAATTATTCGTCTGGGGAGGGTTTTTCGCATGGTACAATGAATACATGTATTAATTGTACCATGAGTTTTTCGCATGATACTATAAACTACAGATAAACCCACGCGCACGCGATCAGTCGTGTGACGTCACTTGGCGACAAATGTCACCAGAAATGTTCTGTGTTGTATGGAGTTTTGTCAGATTTAGTCAAGGTTAGTAGATATTTAAGTATTTACTTAAAAATCTACTAACCTTGAGATTTAGTTTTGTTTTATCGTTTATCTTGTACGTTGACATCGGTTTACTGGGTAAACCATCTTTCCGAAGGAGGTTTACTTAAACCATATCCAGATTTTCTAATTAAATGTAATGAACTGGACCATATTTTTAACAATTTTAACAAAGGATCGTTAAAATTAACCAAGAATTATTTAAAATCGTTAATGGATTTAGCTGTGTTCAGATGTAATGTTAGTAAAGGTGTAAATTATATTTTAAAATTAAAAAATTGAATAGATATATTAAAGAAACATCCAAAGTTAAGAAGAAGAAAATATTAAAAATTGTAAAATAAATTGTTAAATAAACTTGTAAATTATTACAGTGTATTTTATTTTATCAGTTGTATTAAATTTTTATTTTAATAAATCAATCCATTGTATATAAATTTCCATTTGCAAAAGGATGTTTAGTTCTTACTTTTTTATATAATTTTAGTTTACATTGCTAGGCTAACAGAGATGTATATATAACATATTTTTAAGATTTAATTGCAGATATTTTACCTAACATCCCTTAATATTCTAAATATTTAAATAAAAACTCTCTCTTTCCATATATGTTTTACCGACTGTGATGATAAAAGGTTGGTGATAAAAGTGACTTTTATCACCAATTGACGTCATGCGCGTCGATGTACAAAATTCGATTGCGAAGTGGGTTTATCTTGGAAGTCTTAGTATCATGGGTTTTTCGTATTAAAATGCACGTATACTTCATCTAATTTACTTACCATTGCACGTCATTATCATTGACAGAGATCGAAGTTGACATAGTTGCCGAAGTATAAAAAAATCCTGACTCCATTTTAAATCAAATAGGTCACATAATTATTACCATCTCTTTACAATGACTATTTAAATTCTTACGTGACATATTTGAAATAAAACACACTAATTTTGTCCTAAAAAGAACAGAAGATTTTATTAAATAGGTAAAAATATAAAACAAGAGGTATTCACTTTAAAATTCAAAATAATAAAGTACAAAAAGTGTCAACACCGCAACTGTCAATTGGTCATGGCCCATTATTTTTGTTTTACTGTAGTTTATTTTTAAGTCTACCTCTCCGAAAACTTCATTTAGTTTTAAGTTTTCCCTTAAAAAAGAACATAAAAAACAAATCGTGCATATTTAATTAACGTTACACTATTTGGATTCATAAGTATTTATTATGTTTACATATATTTGTTTCTCTTAGTGAACAAAATAGGTATACATATTATTTGCTTTTCAATGTTTAATACATTAAGTTTAAATATATTTTATGAAAATGCCAAAATAAAAATTAATACATTTTTTTGACTTCTAGAAAATAGACACGTAGTTGTATCAATCACAAGGCTCCTCATTATGTTCCTCTATCGGTTGCATACTTTCAAAAACAAATTGGACGACTGCCCTTCTACTTCTATAATGTCCACTCCAAAATTGTTTATTGATACTTTCATGCTGAAATACTAGCATTCTAAGGGATTTATCATATTCTTCTACGATTGTCTCCATCTATAATGCATATATGGGAAGTAAGTAAATTTACTTGGAATATAAAATCTAATGTATAAACAATTATTACAAAAAGATTGACAATAATTAATTCCCACATAATAAAAAGCATACAGGGTGTCAATTTGAAAACTTTCGTTAATATCTGTAATGTGTGGTGCATAACTGCAATATTAAGGCACAGAATAATTGTTTATTATTCTGTGATTAAGGATTTTGACATGGAAAGTGAGAGTCTTTCATTGTCTAAAATTAAGGTGTTTAAAGTGCTGAATGGTAATGACAATGACAGTAACCCGTCGGCATAGCTGTCAGCAGGCCGCCGGTTAGGTACTTGAAAAAAGATCTGGTTATCGGTTAGTAGGTTAATTTTTAATAAATCATTAAGTCGAGAGTTAAAAGTCAAGTCATTACCTCTTTGTTTTATTTGATACGAAAAATCAAAAGAACAGATCAATTTTGTCTGTCTACTTCTTGAAAACAAAGGGTATTTTCTAGGTAATTAAGAATAGGAAGTTTTAAAATTGGCAAATATATATTAAAAAAAGCTGCAATCGTTTTGTTAAATTATCTAATCTAATTAACCTTCTTTGGTCCATCTTTGGAAATAGGCCTCCCCAATTCCATTCTTCTCTGTCTGTCGCTACAGTCATCCACCTAGAGCCCACGTGCTTCTTGATATCATCTGCCCATCTCATTTCAGGCCTTCCTCTGCTTCGTTTATATTACCACGGTCACTAACTTATAAGAATTTTGTTCGATCGGTCTTTTTTTTGTCTTATATTGTGTCCGGCAAATCTCCATTTCAATTTAACAACTTCTTGTCTAACATCAATCAGTTTTATTTCTCTCTTATCCACTCGTTTCTCTTTTTATTCATTAGTCTTATGTGTAACATTTGTCTTTCCATTGCTCTTTGGGTTTTTATGATTTTGTCCATGTTTGCTTTTGAAAATGTCCACGTTTGAGAACCATAAGTGAGAACAGGGAGTACGCATTGATTGTATACTTTGGTCTTAAGATGCTGTGGATATCTTTTGTTTTTAAGAATGTAGCTTATATATATATATATATATATATATATAATCCTGAACTTGTTCTATTTCATCTTGTCCTATCCTCATTGTAATGTCTTCATCTGTATTTGTTATGGTTTTGGTCTTGCTGTAATTCATATTAAGGCCTATCTTTCCAGCTTCTACGTTTAGTTCTTACATCATTTCAAACAATTCTTCTTTCGTATCGGTTATCAATACGATGTCATCAGCGTACCTTAGATGGTTCAAGCGTTGTCCACAAATTTTTATACCTTTTTCTTCCCATTCTAATCTTTTAAAAATATCTTCCAGAGTCTGATTGAAAAGTTTCGGTCATATTGTGTCACCCTGTCTCACGCTTCTATTTATTTGTATTGATTTTGTTCCTTATATTTTAATTGCTGTTTTATATATATATATATATATATATATATATATATATATATATATATATATATATATATATATATATATATATATATATATAACACTGTTTTTGATGGGTTGGAGTCAATAAAAGGGGCTATTTGTTGACTATTTTTTACTCGAGCTTTCAATTGTGATTACAATTTTTATCAAGAGCTTCTAAAAATACAAAATATCTTACAAAGTTGAACTAGAAATAAATAATGTTGTTGTTAACTCACCAAATAAAATTAGTTATTTATATAAAACTGCTGCTAACATTATTACAAAAAATATTATTAAAAAAATGTTCTATTCTAATAAATGTTTCTCTGACAAATTTAGATAAAGTTTCTTAACAAAAAACAATTGGATTTATAAACAAAAATTGAATAGCTACAATTCAGCCTAAATGACGTAAATAACAACTTAAAAATTTTTATTTTTGACATATTGTCAAAAATAAAATTTTTGTTTAAAAATTCTTCTTTGTTTAGTAACAAAAAAGAAGAAGATTTATTCATCATTGATAGATGCCCGAAAAAATGTAACAAATACATGGAAAATTCAAAATGTGATATTTTACTGACTGCATAAATTAAATAGAAATTATATAATTATAAATTTTGCTTAAATTTTGAATTTCTGACCTTTTGTTTAAATTATTATCACTTTTGCTAATACAAACCATTTCCAAAAAAGTTCTTTTAAATTTATTACTTTCATTACATAAAATTTTAATATTATCAAAATCCATAATATGGTCTTTGTCTATTACATGCTCTGCCAAAGCACAAGATGGTTTCTTAATTCTACAATCACTCTTGTGAGAAATAATGCGATTTGAGAGATTTCTTCCAGTCTCACCAATATACTCAGCTTCACACTGAGTACAAACAATGCTGTATACTACATTTGTTTGATCTAATTTGTCTATAGGATATTTAGTTTTGGAATATAAAGATGATATTTTATTGACTCCAACCCATCAAAAACAGTGTTATATTTTTTCCAAACGAGTCACAAGTACTTCTTTTTTCTTACTCTTATATATATATATATAATATATATATATATATATATATATATATATATATATATATATATATATATATATATAATTGGCTATTTGTTCCATATATCTGTGGTCAATTTTGCTGTTAATCAAAGAACTTTTCACTGCCCAATGTTCGACACTGTCGAAAGCCTTTTCTTTCTAAATCTATGAACGCTATATATCGATGAATGTGGCATTCATTTGCTCGTTCTATAAGTATTTTCATACTTAGTAAATGGTCACTTGTGCTGAATCTCTTTCTAAAACCTGTTTGTTCCTTCGACTGATATCCGTCGAATTTGATCGTTAATCTATTGGTTAAAATTTTTGTGGACTTTATACATTACATTAAGGAGTGTTACAGGACAATAGTTTTTTATATCTGCTTTATCCCCTTGTGTAGGATAATGGTTACGTACGGATTCCTTCCAGTTGTTGAATTAAATGGCCAAATACATGGCCTAGGAAGACAAATTCGTTAAACTTCAATCGAATCGGTATCAATAAAGTGTTATAAATCATTTCAGCATATCCCTGCGTTATCAGACACTTGGGCTGATACAAATTCAAACTCGAAAAGACCAACGAATGTCTCATAAAACTTGACCATTGCAGTGGTTAGCGTACAGAGGTGCCACCTTCTTTGGCGGCCATGAACGAAAACGATTTAATAATTGTATTTAATAAATATGTAAATGAATCGTTTTCTGTACTCTAGGCTATACTGTGTTTATAAAATGAAATGGACAACTCTTCCGACTCCTACAAATGATGGCCAAAAACTATCTAAAAAATTTTTTTGTTTTAAAAACGTTTTTTTACAAAACCCGTATTTAAAAATACTTAAAAACATATATGTGTTGTATATTTAAGAATTAAGTTTTATGTTTAGAGTAGAATCTAAGTTGTATTTTAGACATTACTGTTTGTGTTAGTCTGTATGCAGCTTAAGATCATGAACTTTAGTGTGTAGACAGCTTAAACTGACAGCTGACAGAGAACAATGATGGCCGCTAGTTAGAGCCCGTAATGTAAGTTATATGTTTAAAAAAAAAGAAAATAAAGTTCTCCAGAATAGTTATTTTTATAATATCCACCACCAACGAAATAAAACAATATGCATATAGATAAAATTATGTTACAGAAGAATTACAGAACATAAAGTCATAATAATATAAAATTTCTTATCAGAAACAAAAGAATTGGTTGTGAATTCATTACTACCAACTTAAAACGACAGAACGTTAGAGCTTAAAATGATAACAATGTAAAGGTAATAGTATACCTAATAGACGATGAATTTTCTGAAAAAGAAGAGGCAAAAAGACTTATTTTGAAGAAGAAGGGATATTACATATCTCATATATAATGAACTTGAATTTTGAACTTATTGACGATGAATTGCCTTTTATTGGTAGTTTTGTCTTTATCTAAAGTTAACAATAATGAGTATAAGTTGCTTAAATTGTTGGTATCTGTCTTTTTAGTAATGGTTTCTTTTTCTTGAAAAATGAAAACCATCTCGAGAAACAATCTTTTTGAATTATTGCTCTTCGTGGATATTTACAATTGGAAAATCGAAAGAGTGCCCTGTTGTGTTAGCATGTGTGGCTATGGAATATCTATCAGGGTGTAACATAATGTCACTCTTGTGAAGAGTCAAACGGCTGGAAACTTTTTGGGAGATGTGACCTATATAAGAACCTTCACAGCCTAAACAACTAAGTCTGTATACATCACTTTTACCTGAATTAGGTACTTTGTCTTTCGATGACTTTTACAAAGATCCCACAACTAGAGTGACTTTCTTGTATCGCATCGATTATCATTGTGCCGAGCTTTCAACATCTTCTTTGATGTCTTCTTCAGAGCTTCCGAGGTCTCAGTCTCCCGAGCTCCCAGACACTACTACACTGATCAACCAATGCATTTCTGGTACTTTCAATAGAGGACGGTTCATTTATACCGTCGGGATTGGCAAGAACATTTCGGACAGTTGGATTTTGATTGGTGGGTGGAGCGGACGACGTTTTCTTTAAGAGAGGTCTCCATGTCGAAGGTAACCGTATGCTGTCATCTCTTTTATTGAGACAATTTGGCCTTTGGCCTAGAATTTGAAAAAATTCTATATTCTTTGCTTCTAACACTGTATGAAATTTTCTTGACATCCCCCAAAGTTTGCCTTCTAGATTCTTCTTCTTCTTCAGATGCAAATCCACTAATGGATGTTAGCGATCACATTTTCCATTAAGCCTTCTAGATTACTGGTATATGTTCCGAAATGCCAAAACTTAAATAAGTAAATATTCAAAAAGAAACACTACAACCCCGAATTTTATTATAATAGTCTTCAGTCGTGATTCACCGTACTTTCAGCTCCACAACTGATCAAAATGTGTATCGGTTATTTATTTTATATTAAAAGACAATATATAGGACAATAAAACTGAAATAGAGCTTACTAAGAATTTATACAACAAACAAGTTAAAAGGAATAGAGTTATTAGAAATAAATTAATGCTACCTTATTCCATTTTCTGCCTCTACATTGCTCTATAAGGACAGGTTTCAAAACAGAAAATAACACAATTTCATCATTATTTTCATCTACTGTAAACTCCTCCACAGGTTTCTGGGTACTTTCAGAAGAAAAACCTTTAATTGTTAGTTTATACCCATGTCTAGGTTGGAAAAACCCAGTGTACCATTCACTTACATAAATATGGGGCTTAAACGTATTTATTACATACCTAAGAAGCCGTTTGTGCTCCAAACGTATTACCTAAAATCGCCAAAAATATTACATTCAACTTCAAAAGATTTTATCTTTTAATAAATTCAGCTTCAAATTCACCAACCGACTTACCTGTATTTTAAAGAAGATATTTTCTACCTCATCAAACTGTGTTAATCTTGTAAAATCATTAAATTCTGCTTTCGCGTTACCAGTTTTTATTAAGTTTTTAAAATTATTTGTTGAATAATATAAGTAGTACACGTACCAAGGCAACCTACGACAATTATATAAGTCATTGTTTTTGAAAAAATTACAGAAAAATACAACAAATGATGTATATATATATATATATATATATATATATATATATATATATATATATATATAATATATATATATATATATATAACCTATAATACTTGGTTTAAGTTACCATTAAGAAGATTTTACACTTGGATGTCACCACCGGCCTTGACTGGGTACATCGTTAGAAATCAGATAGACTTCATAATAATTAACAAACAATTCTGTAACGGAATAATATCAGCTAAAACATATCCTGGAGCTGATATAAATTAGTAATACATTAATAGTAGTATATAATAGTAGTAATGGTATAGTATACATTAATAGTAATTTTCCTCAAATAGAGGATACAGAAACCTGCGAAAATCAAGTATTCATGCCAGACTTACCAAATTCTATAAATCTCGAAGAGATTCGACGGTGATATTTCACTACAACTTTGAAGGAATTACGGTTAAGTAAATATCTTTGTTAGTTATTAGTTAATAGTGTTTTTTAATTCATTAGTTCTTTTTTGATGTGCTAATTTTCTTACTTTTCCATATTTGTACGTTCAAAACAATGTTTGATAACGTTTCTTTTAATAAACTGTTTAACTTGTAACAATGCCGTTTCTATATACCTTAAAACATTGCGGCCCAGAGTGCCCCTTGGCCTCAATGTTTTAAGAGCCAGAGTGTAATATATATTTTAATTATTTATTAACAAAAAACTAAAATATATTAAATACAATTGTTTTACTTTTTAAATGGACAAAAGTATAAATTTTACTTTTTTGTTTGCAAATTGAATATAATGAAACATTTTTTGTATTTTTTACCTAAAAACAATTATGGGACCGAATGTGCCCCACTCTCCCCTACATATTTTCTTAAGCAGGGTGGGCATTCTGATTGTTTATTATACTGTGCCAAAAGGAGCAGGACAAGGAGACATATTCAGCACAATAGGTAACTCAACTTAGCAACTGTCAAATAAAAAAATTAACAAATAATACATACATATCAGACGTTGGGGATACCTTATATATTTACCAAGGTTATAATGGTTAAAAGCACCAAAATATTAAAGCCACCTTACAATACGTTAGTATACTTTTTCCAAAGTCAATTTTCCAAGTGGCGGCTTTTGAGCTTCTTTGATGCAAATGCCGACCATTGGCGTGGAAATTAAGAAAAGGGATCAGTTCATCAAACGCATATTTCAAGAAAAATCATAATTTTTATTAATTTTTACATAATTATATTCAGGAAAATTTTTTTTACAGAACAATTTTTTAAACAAATTCAAAATATCACCTTTTGTGCTCCAAAAAATATTTTTTAGGTTTTTGGGTGACTCTAAATAAGATCTATGTCATTTTTCTCAAAAGTTAATAGTTTTGGAGATATAGGCGATTTAAAATCCGAAAAATGCGATACCTAATATGCATTTTCGAGGCTTGAAAAATATGTAAATGAGTATTTTTGAGATTCAAGAGTATTTAAACTAAAGTCTCGACATTGATTTTGGTGAGAAATTGGGGTAATATTTTCCGTAGCAGAAAAAGGAGATCTTTTGAATTTGAATTGTTTCCGGCAAAAATGTCCGGCACCCTTCAACCTTCGATTTGTTTAAACGCGGTATTTTTGAATAGGAATCTTCAAAGGACAGAATCAGTTTTTTTTTTCAAATGTGAGCGGGCTCACAACATCTAATAAATAACAAATTAATTCTTTCAAATTAAAGCTTGTTAATTTTAGTGATTTATAAGAATATTGGACTTATTATTTAGTTTTTACATAAACCATAATATTTTTTTACAATTATCTGTAAATAATGGTTCATTCTGTCAGAAAATTTTAAAAGATTGTCTATCCAGCAAGGACAGAAAATCTCAAAATATTGTCTGTCCAGCAAGGACCACGAGGAGGTATGAGCCTTCCTTGCCAGGAAAGGAAAGGGTTAGGTATGTTAGTAAGAATATAAAGTTAGTTTTTTTTTCATTTTGTTTTTATTATTTTTTTTTTTTTTTGTTTTTATATTTTTTTTTGTTTTTTGTTTTTTTTTGTTCTGACTCTATACAGTGTGTCGCATTTAAGATGAAGATACCCCTATATTTCGGCTATTAGAATAAATACCAATTTGAAATTTTGCACAGTCATACAGGTTGTCAATTCACATTTTTTAAGATAATCAACTGAAATTTAATTTTTAAACACGGCCTACTGTTAATGCACAAACAGGGTGAATCTTCAATATTTTGCTTCGAGTTAGAGATATCGGAAAAAGTTATTTGGAAAAGATGTTCCAAATATTATTATAACCCCACATAACAAAGTTTTATGTCAAAATTCGCACTTTTACTTTTTTCAATAATTGAAGAGCTTATTTCCAGTGTCTTAAATCCAAAATTTCGATTTTTTTAATTTTCTTTTTTTAAACTTTATAGATTTCTTCAAGTCTAAAATAAAGTTATATGTACCAAAACAACTTCTTATTTGCCATTTAAAAGTGCATATGAAAATTGTAAAATTGTATAATTTGTATGTTAAATTTGTATGAAAATCTGTAATTTCATGGATTTCATTATATGGATTTAAGACACTTTGGAAATAAGCTCTTCAATTGTAGTCAGGATTCTAAAACGGACAGTTGGCTGTCCCGAGATGCATCTTTAGACAGCCAATTGTAGATTTAGGATCGAGATTACAAATAATACTGAAAAACTAAAATTGCGAATTTTGTCATGAATTTTGGAATGTGCGGTTACAATAAGTGGAATAACTTTTCCAAATAAGTTTTTCCGATTTCTCTAACGCGAAGCAAAATATCGAAAATTTACCCTGTTTGTGGATTCGCAGTAAGCCGCGTTTAAAATTTAAATTTCAGATAACTAACTATCTTAAAAATATGTGCACTATCAACATGTATGACTGCAAAATTTCTAATCTGTATGTATTTTGATAGCTGATATATAGAGGTGTCTTCATCTTAAATGCGACACACTGTATAATAATGAATACTAGTGTTCAAGATGCATCGCGATAGCTGTAAAGAAATTAATTAGAAGGACTAAAAAGAATCGTCAGAGTCTTCTGAAGTCGAATCGTTCCCAGGTTGTATAACTATTGGTGCTATTGCCGGTAAAACAGGATATTCATTTTCTATTTTTACAACATGAGCTTCGCAACTTTTCCACACATCGCTATTAATGCCACTAATTACTTCTCGAATATTCTCAATGGCCACTGCGCTTAATGTTGGTGACTGATTATATTTTCGCAATCGTTTTTTTACGGTACCCCAAACCATTTCAATTGGATTAAAAATGCAATAGTATGGAGGTAATCGCAAAAGAGTATGGCCGTGCCTGCTGCAAATGGTGTCAATAACGTATTCGTTTTTGAAATTCCGACTTTTGATCATTCTAATTAATTCTTTTTTTACTGGAATCTTTTTAGGAACAGTGATATTTTTAAGTTCCATAAATTTTAAAATTTCGTCCTTTTTCGTGTTATTATTAGGTATTTTATTTAATATGCGGGAATGATACGACGCATTATCCATAACAATCACTGAATTCGGCGGAATATTGGGCAAGAGTTGTTCAACAAACCACTTTTCAAATAAATCGGCTGTCATATCTTCGTGATAATCGGCAGAAGACTTTGTTATATTTTTGGCCGACAATAGCAATGCATTAGATACAAAACCATCTTTGCTTCCGGCATGAAGAATAATAACACGTTTTCCTCGTGAACAGGGTGTATTTAATGCACACTTGTTTGTGTTGTCAACCCAGCCGTACTTGACAACATCATGCGTATCGAACCAGGTTTCATCTAAATAGATTATGTTTCTGTTTGAATTACGATACTGTTTTATTTTACTCAAATACTCTCGTCGAAGTTCAACAATACGCCGAGATTCCATTATTACCATTCGATTATCTAATTTCTTATATTTAAATCCACAACTTATCAAAATCTCGCGCAGTGTTTCCAAAGATGTATAATTATATTCAGGGAAATCTCTCAATTTTTCACGAATCAGTTCTAAAGTAGGCACTCTATTTTCTTTGTAAAAATTGTAAACTGTTCGCTGAATAACGTCTTTTGCAGCAGTGTCAATCCTACCCAATTTTTTATTTGGTCGCTTTCGTTTTAAGGAATGATCTGTAACAATGCCTAATTTAATAATTGTATATATCGTCTTATACCCGATTTTTGTTAATACATGAATTCTCGAAACAATTGCATTATCAGCCATCAAAATATTTTCTTTTTTCAAACACTCATACATATTTAAAACTATTCTTTGGGATTGTACGTGCAAATCTTTATTTTTTAATTCGGGGCTGTCATTAACATAATTGTCATTATCTATTGATAACACAGAAGTTGATGCATCTTGATCATTCGTATCAAATGGTCTCCAAAATGCCATCCTAGAAAAATATAATATTACTTACCTTATTATCCGCCTCTGATAGCTGCTTGCAAAATGAACTATTTAGGGTGTCATATAGCCAGACAAACAGGTGTTCCATCAAGATTTATTGCGATGCGCTTCGCTGTTGCCAAGTTTAAAATTATTGAATGTAACTTTAATACCATAATTAATATATCTGCAATTTTTCATGTTTCCAGGTAAGGTATAAAATCAATAAAATTTGGAAAAAAATAATACAATTCTTGAAACCGTTTTTCAGAACTTGGATTCTTAAAAGTTGTCTGATTTCTTAAAAGTCGATCATTATATCTATAAGAGTATTACCGCTAAATTCACCAACATGGCAACGTCGATATAGACCGAACATCGAAATCACCTCGAAATTCTGTCCAGACTACAATGTTGCCGATATTCGAAAATTACTTAGAGTATAAGTTATATATACAAAGTTCACAGTTGCTTTAATTCATTAGTGAAGAGTCCATGGAAATATTAGTACCTAGTTAATTAATTTATATAGATATATTTTTTGAGAATATGTTCATATTATTTTTTAAGAGTGTCGTTCGTTGACTAGCAATTGAATAATAACGAATAGAGAATAGAGAATATTTTTTAAATATAACCTTAGGAATTTTAGGAAATATGTCTGACAACCTTGATTTGAAAGGCGGTCTCTTTGAAATCAGAGTGAGGCATATTTATGTTGGAAAATTATTAGTGGATGTACTATAGAAGCACAGATAATAAATAAATATTTTTAATACGGCTCTACCTTTTAGCTCTATTAGGAAATTGATTATTATATACATCCATCCAAATACTAGTCGATTTAATAATGTTGCACCACTTTTTACACACTAAACTTAAAGGTAATAATTGATAAGGTGGAAGGAACGTAAGAACTTTCATTATAATTTCCTCTGGAAAATAGAAGTCGTTCAAAAATAACCCATTGCTGGTATCATCTTCAAGAGGACCATGAAACTTAAATTCCTCAACAGGTACATATAATTTGGGTGTTTTATCTTCTTTAGCCTTAGGTATTTCCATTGTATCAAAGTATTTCGATTTGAAACTACCGATAATCTATTTTATACTATATCAATTAATCTCTTCCAAGATAAAAATGACGCAGAATTCAGAAAATATTTTTACAGCGGAAAAACCGGTCGGAAAACCCATAGTATAATCAACATTCCTTCTACTTCTTCTTCTAGTCCTAGTCATTTGTTTGGACTTAGCTACCAGCGGCAGGCGCTATCCGGCCAGGATCTGTGTAGTTAACCCCCATAATTTAACTAACATTCCCAGAGATGAGAGATGATACATATCTCTTATTAGATATCTCTCTTACAATTACTCTCTTATTCCCTCTCTGAACATTTCTCATATAAATCGTTAACCAATGAGTTCTTCTTTTTCTAATATGCATAACTTTATGATTAGATTCCATAATTTTCGTACGAGATGTCACGAAGAATTTATTACAATAAAAAAACAGTAATTTGTTTTTAAAATGAATCCTTATATTCAAGCTTTAATAAATTAGCTTTTTTCTAATAATAATTGGTACAAATTTATAGATTTATAATGTTTGAAATGTGTACTCTATTTCTAAATTTCATGTTGACAGAAGGAAGAGTTTGTTTGACCTTTTGACAGAAAACTATTCATTCACACTTGACAGTTTTATGGAAAATAGATAATCTTCTGGCGTCTACTGTTTAGAGCAATTAAAATAGTTTTTAGTAATTTATTATAACTGAACTTTTATATTTTAGCAAAATAGGACCTAAAGGTTTTTATAATACATCATAAAAAGTGCCTGATACGTAATATGTGATATTCAGGAGTTGAAACTGGGCGCATTGCCCTTTAATCACACCGTTACTTGAAGTGGTATGTATGTATTTATTTTGTCAACTAATTAAAAACCAAATAAACATTTTTGTTTATTTAGATTATAAATAACAGTTTATCTACTTAACAGAACGCAACTTATCTCAAAGTAATATCAAATAGTGTTAAAAATGATTTCTTTAAGTTTCAAAATTAGTAAACACTATTAATTGTTATATTTAATTCTTTTGTTACAGATATTTTGTCAATAATTTTACCATGAATAAACAAGAGATTGAAGTTTCATGGTAGTTTGTTTCTGTTTGGCTTTAAGTGACTTATGGGCAATGAGACTGCAAGAGATATGGAGACTGAATCAGTAAAATCAGAAAACAGTTCAAAATCTAGACGATCTAGGAGCCATAGAGACAGGACAAGCAACTACAGACACCATTCACATAGGAGCACAAGGTAATATGTGAAAATACTTTGTCTTTTTGTTTCGAAAAATAGTAGCTATAATATTTTTCCTCTCCCATTACACCTATAATATAACTCAAATGAAGAGTATTTACTCAATATATTTTGTATTTTTTTTACTTGTTCTTTTTGACACTTGTAGAAGCACAACCAATAATATGTAGAGGCATACATATATGACCTAATTTAACTAAAGTTATAGAATAAAATATGGCATTCAAGAGGTCCTCTCTTAAATAATGCAATAATTTTATGTAATTTAAGGTTGATTGTCAAAGATAACCCCCTGATCGTTTATTGAATTGTCCAGAATTGTCTGTAAATATCTATGAATACAGTACACACTGGGGTTTTTTAAGTTTAGAAAAGCATATTAAAAATTAATTATGGCCATTTAGAGACAGATCTAAATTTTGAAGAAGTCTAGATTTTGTTGTTTAGTACATTTTAATTTTTGAGGAACTTTATGATACAAAGGGACTTTAGTTCTGCACTCAGTACACAAGTCAGTCAAACACATTTTAAAATCAATAAGAAATGCATTAAAGATAATAGAAGTGAATAGTTGTCAAAAACTCTTGACAAAATGACCTCTCAATGGTAATTTTTAACCACAAAGGTCATTATCAGGGTATAGAAAATACTATAATTGTACAAAGTATAAGTTTAAGTACATTATATTTTACTATACTACGTTCCACGTTAAGAAAATAACATTGCGGAGATAGGGCCATGTATTTCTTACGGACGATAGAAACACAGCATTGCCACTACACACACAAGCACAATTTAGGGTTGTATAATTTGTATTTTCGTTTCCACAGACATGAATTAAATTAATGTTTTTTAATGTAATTGACCAAAAGTGCCCATTCAAAACAAGAGATGAAAAGTAGGGAAAATGATTTTAATTAGATAAATAGTATTTACGAAAGATAATTTTATTTTATCTTCTTTTAATTATAGTAACGACAGTTTATTTGTTTTTCGGTGAGCCATGAATCATAGAAATTAGTAGAAAATATTGCTTAGTTAAATCATGCATTTTACCGCCTATTAAAGTTTTAAAAGCAAATAAACAGACTTGGAATGTGTATATCTAATTACTAATTGCAACTTAAACTAATACAATTTGCATATGTCAGCAATTTTATGTCGTTCTCTGACTACATAATGATAATAAGGCTTTTATTTAGTAGTTATTCTGACTTTACAGTTAAATGTTAATTGAAAATGAAAATTCAAAAATTAAGCAAAGGGAATATCTTGGACATCCGTGCAAAAGAGAGTGTCTGAGAGTTTTGGCAACACTGATCTCCATAAGCGTAATGTTATTTTCTTAACTTGAAACAAAGAATAGCTAGGTTACATTTGTTAAGAAATTGAAAAAGGTTTACAGTCTGTTTTTGGTTAAGAATGTCTTTCATATTGTTTGAATATCCAGGTATTGATTGTTTTTAAGTGTCAATACTACATTTTGTCTGTAGCACATATTTTATTATTAATGGTGTATTACACTTGCTGCATTCTGGTACTTGGGTATGTGTAATAAGGTGTTCATGAGTAAGTTTGCAGTGTCCTAACTGAAGACAAGTTTAGGATAGGATCGAACTCTATCCTATTTAAATCCTTATCTAAATCTCTCTATCCTTATCTAAATAAATGTTTAGTGTCTTTGTTTATGAATACTGCTGCTCCTACTCTGTGGGAAGCATTAGATGCATCAGTGAAGATTTAGGTATAATTTTTGTAATTTGAGACTGTTTGTTGATAATTTTGATATATAAGATGTGGAATGGTATCATATTTATTATATTACATTAATTGGGTGTTTATATGTGGGGTTTTGATAATCCTTGAAGGATTCCCACGTTCTGGGAAATTTTTTTGGAGATTTAACATAGATATACAGATATGCAGGGGTAAATTCTAGTATAAAAAATTGGAGGGGAAGAACTATTTTGAAAAATTTATTTGAAACAGTTGCAAAAAGTGTTTTTACAAGCAGGAATTGATGGAAAATGATACTACGATCATCAATAGAAGTGTACAGATATTGGTCTACGCAGATGACATTGACATAGTAACACGGACAAAAAGAGACCTTATACAGGCTTTTGAAACATTTGAAAAAGCCGCGAAGACAATGGGACTGCAGATTAATGTATCCAAAACAAATTACATGAAGGTCACAAACAGCACACAAATAGCGGCACCACATGATCTGGTGACAAAAGCACACACATTCGAAGGTGTCTCGGAGTTTATATATCTTGGAACACAACTAAATAACAGCAACCTAGTAAGCGTAGAAATTAAGAGAAGAATATACCTGGTGAACAGAGCTTACTTTGGACCAAAGCGGTTCTTAACATCACACATAATTAGCAGAAAAACCAAGATACTAATATATGAAACTCTTATTAAACCTATCCTATATGCAACGAAGCAACGAAGAACTGTTACGCCGTTTTGAAAGACGAATACTTAGGCACATATACGGAGGAGCACAAGAAAGCGGGATATGGCGCAGGCGCTACAATTTTGAATTGTATCAATGCTATGAAAAATACAACATCCTCCGGTCTATTAAAATTAATAGACTAAAGTGGCTAGGACACCTTGAAAGAATGGACACTGGAGACCCCCAAAGACAGATATTATATCAAGAGCCAGTAGGAACCAGGAAGAGAGGCAGGCCAAGATCTAGATTCAAAACTCAAGTCGAAAATGACTTGAGGAATTTAGGGGTCAGAAATTGGAAAGATAGGGGGGAATGAAGACTAATTCTTGAACAGGCCAAGACCCACCCAGGGTTGTAGAGCCAAAGATGATGATGGTGATACTACTCTTGAGGCATATGATAAACTTAATATTTGTTGTCTGTAAGATAGTTATGGTTCACCCAGTTCGCAGTATAGACTTTCTACAGGCATTGTTCTATAATCTCCTAGAATTGTTCTTAATGCAGTGTTGTGTATAGTATCTAAGCATTTTAATATTGAAGTGTGGGCAGGTATATATGTAACACATCTTTAATCAATTTTCAAAAGAATGAGACTTCTGTATATTTTTAGTAGCATCAGACCTTCAGATCCCCAAGACTTATTTGCTAAGCATCTTAATAAATTTAAGCCCATTTGGTATGAAAATACCAAACTTTCGATATGATTTTTTCATGATAGATGTTCGTTGAATATCATACCCAGAAAATTTATATGTGAGGTCTAGTTTAGTTTCTGGTTGTATAGAAATATTGATGGTCATTGCAGTTCTGTTATGTTTCTTTTTGAGAATAATATTCAGTTTGTTTTGTTTGGGGAAAATTGTATCCAGACATTGTAGACCAACATTCAAAGTATGTTATACATTGCTGAACACTTTCAGCCATAGTCCTAAGATATTTTCCTTTGATAAATACAGTCATGTCATCTATCAGCCTAGCTACAACTGGTTTCTTTAAGTTTTTTACGACATCATTCATAGCAATTAAAAATAATGTTGGACTTGAATATATTTTATTCTTGATAAAACTGAATAGATTATTAGTTATTCACATATTTTATCTATACTTTATGACAATACAGAATATTATTATTACTTTTAGAAGCAGTAAATCTAGAAGAAACGACGATATGGCTCCTTTCCAGACAGCTGTTACTATGACTCCTGACAATAGAGATGGACAGGAAGTGATAGAGGTACAGATCCTACCACAAGATGACAACTGGGGTGAAAACACTACTGCCATAACTGGAAACACATCAGAGCAATCAGGATCAGCTGAAGACATCTGCAACTGGCCTGGAGAACCTGATACAGGTTTAGGTTTTGTGTGTCAGAGATATATGGGTACAAGTATAACTTATATTTTATCTCTCGCTGCCTTTTTAAGTCCTATAGCGATGGTATTACTGCCAAAGATGGGTTTCTTTCCTGATCTTTCTGCTAGAATAGGTCTTGCTGATAGCACAAAATTGCTGGCTTGTGGTGCTGAATGTAAAGGCCAGTTGGTGTCTCTGGCCTTCAAGATGGTAATTCTTGCAATTGGTGCCTGGGCGGTGTTTCTCAGGAAACCGCAAGCAACACTGCCTAGATTCTTTTTGTTTAGAGCAGGGATTCTAGCTCTTTTATTAGTGTGTACTTTTGCCTATTGGCTATTTTATATAGTTCAAGTGACTGAGACAGCCAGAGCAGCTACAACACCAGAAGAAACTGTAGATTACAAAGCCTTGGTAGCTTATGCATCAAGCTTGACTGATACTTTACTTTTTATACATTATTTAGCTGTAGTTTTAGTAGAAATAAGGCATTTACAGCCAATGTACTACATTAAGATTGTTAGGAGCCCAGATGGAGCTAGCAGTGCATATGGTATAGGCCAGTTAAGCATTCAGAGGGCTGCTGTGTGGGTGCTTGAGAAGTATTACACTGAATTTCCCATTTATAATCCTTATTTAGAACGTATACCAGTGTCAAAATCTAGGAAAACATCTTCGAGTTTTAAATTTTATGAAGTAGATGGCATTAATTCTTCTCAAATTCAACAGTCCCAGTCCAGAGCTATGTTAGCTGCTCATGCTAGACGACGTGACTCAAGTCATAATGAACGTTTTTATGAAGAACATGAGTATGACAGGAGAGTTAAAAAGCGCAGGGCAAGACTTATTACTGCTGCCGAAGAGGCTTTCACTCATATTAAACGTTTACACAATGATCAAGTATCATCCATACCCATGGACTCACACGAGGCTGCTCAAGCTATTTTTCCTTCAATGGCGAGAGCTTTACAGAAATACTTGCGTGTTACAAGGCAACAGCCAAGACATTCAGTGGATAGCATTTTGCACCACTTGGCTAATTGCCTCAGCAATGATTTGACACCAAAGGCTTTTCTCGAACCATATCTAGTTTCTGAACCTGTGTTACAAAATGACAAAGAAAAGAAAGATGTACAAACTTGGGCTTTGATTTGTGAAGAAATCTTAACGAGACCCATAGGTGATGGTATATTTTTCCAGTTGAGACAGAATGATGTCTCTCTTCTGTGCAATATTAAAAAAATACCTCACTTTAATGTAACTGAGGAGGTTGTTGATCCTAAAAGCAATAAATTTGTGCTAAGGTTGAATTCAGAAACATCTGTATGACCAATCGAGTACTCCAGGTCTTTTGATAGGCTGATATGATTTTTGCATATCTTGTTTGAGAGTAATAATGAAATTATCTATATTTTTGACAAAATTTGAAATGTATTTGGTACCGTTTGTGGATTTTTTTGATTGATGATCAGTGAGATTGAAGTGCCCTTTTTAACACTGAGTTTTAAAAGAGCTACTCCAGTCTTTATACACAAAAATTGACTTTTAATTGAAGGTTTAAGGTATCATTAAAGAATTGTACTATATGCGTGTAGTGGATTAACAACATTGTGACGTCATGCAATCAATATAATTTATAAATATAAACTAATACTTAAATGTAAAAGTCAAAGAAACATATTTTCTTTCAATTTTATTTTCAAATTCGTTTTAAAAAAGAATTCTAGCTTTCATTTTTGTTTTACATTTTTTGACAAAGATTATTTTAAAATAGTGTGCTGCTATCATAACCAAGCTGTTGGGCGGTTATCGTTTTCCAAATTCACGGTTGACTTACTTGCCTCGATCTTGTAGGCATGTAGCCATGCTTTTAGTTGATAATTCTGAGTTCTGGTTGTTTAAAACAACCAATATACTGTGAGATCTATTTTGCCAAAACCAAATCATAAACAACATCAACACCCCGTGAATGCAACAATTGATAATAGAAAAAAAAAAAAGAAAAAAGGTCAGATATGGAAAACCTACATATTCAAATGTTTTGATGATGATCCAGACTCAATAGAACAATCAAATGGCGAGTTAAATGGGCTTGACATACTTTTTTTTTTTATTATTTAAAACCTAAGCTGTGTCACAGTTGACCAATTATCAATTCGTTTTAGACTTAAATTACTAAATCATACATAAGTTCTTCTTAACCATATGGTGTCCTCATATTTTATCTAACGACTAATAATCTCACATTTCTTGCAATTTTTCCTTCAATTCGCGGATGGACCTGGCAGTATGTTTTCTCAAAGCTTTTTTCATTTCGCGCCACATAGTCTCTATCGGGGACAAGCCGGGACTGTTAGAAACCCATTCCAGAAGTGGTATGTCATGGTTCTCAATCCATTTCAAACTCTTTTGAGTTATGACAACCTGCGCCGTACTGTTGAAAGACAAAATGTTTCGCTGATATTAAACGGTATTTCATAATCGGTAAAAGAGATTCTTCTAAAATATTCAAATATTTGTCTGTGTTTACAATCCCATCGATAAAATGCCACTTTCCTACACTTTACTTTAATAAATTTACACCAAAAAGTTTTTTTAACAAAAGTTTTACCGGCAGTACACTTAAGGTTTTCCTGAACATATAGTACAATTCCTCCTGTAGATCTTTTGGACGAATTGCAACGTATCACCTTATACTCACACAAAGCAATTTCAGAATCTTCAATTTCACTTGCAACTCGAGGACCACTAACCACTATTATTTTAAGACAATAACACAGTAAACTTAACTTGATTTGGTCCATTTTGTTTAACAAGATCTATGCATTTAACTATAAAACATCAATATTAAATAATATACTAGGGCTACTTACTAGTTTTTTTTTAGATAAATTTATTTTTTTTAGACTATTATAGGCTTATTATTAATGAATTTGATTGTTTTTTTTCCAGGGAAATTGTGACATTCGACACTCTAATTAATCTTTTATTTTTGACAATAATTTTAGCGTCTTCGGCCATATTTAATACTACTTTAATGGGTCTTGTTCTGTTAGCAAATTTTCCCGATCTAAATAGTTTTATATCGCACCCTCAGTGCAAGACTGCAGTAACTCAAAATTTTATGAAAATGAAGTAATCATGGAATTAGATTGTAAACATGCATATCTATCCCCTGTAAAACTTTAGTAACTTTCAAATGCTTAACCGGCTAAATATTACAACAACAACAGTTTAACTATTTTGCGTTTTTGTACAAGTTTCGTGCAAAACTGTTGTAATTATAATTTAACAGAGTTACAACAGTTTTGCACGGAACATATCAATGGTTTTGATAACAAACAATGAAATCCACGAAAAAAGTAAGATATTTGTTATTTTAATATCTATATCTGTAGTGTTTAATTTTAATATACAGCGTGTCTAGGTAATCCATTAACGGCCGTGACATTGTATTTTCCATAAAATGTGTGCGATGTCGTTTGACCATTTATTTATTAGATTGGATTAAAAACACATAAAACTATTTACAGCCAAAAAGTATTTTTTCTTATGAATGGAAAAACAGTTATCTTAAAACTTGTATACTGTAAACAATACTGACAGTTTAAAAATATTTGTTCTCAGAAAACTCATTTTATTAAAACTAAATCCTAAATTGTATTAAATCTTCATGTAACCTTCCGGGGCGATTGTTTTATCATATTGTCCCCCCGTAATTCCCAACTTTTACTAAGGTAGTAAATTTCAATCCTTTTGTTAATCACTGTACTCAAGGTAGCCTGATTTGCATATTTTTATTATATTCCTTTTGTTTTGAATTTAAATAAATAATATTGACAGTTTTGCTAATAAAAAATGTATCTACACTTTTTACAATTTTCTCCGTGCAAAAGTGTTGTAACTTTGAAATTCCTAATTTTTTTTAGCATTAATATTGTTTTATTTAAATTTCTATGTTAATACTAGTTTGGTCACAAATTCATCCTCATCATCATCCTGAGGGTACAAACATCACTCTCAGAATTATCAACTAAAAGCATGTCTGTATGCCTGAAAGATCGAGGCCACCAACTGTCAATTTGGAAAACAATAACCGCCAACAACTTCGTTACAAAAACAGCACACTATTTTAAAATAATCTTTTTTGAAAACGATTTCCGGAGTGGAAACCTTAAGCCTGAAGTCACTACTGTAGTAGTCGTAATAATTATTAATTGTCATGTATGGTCTCAATTACTGCGATTTTTGTGTATAAAGGCACAGTAGCATAGTTTGAATGTATAGATATAAGAGAATTCACCAAAGGACTGCTTTGGCACAAAAAGCGATTTAAATTAAGTACTTAAGTTTTTTCTATCTTGATATTTTCTCTTGATTTGAATTTGAATCTCTTTTTTGTTAGTTGTTTTGTGGCCACAATGTACACTTGAATTTGAAGTAACGCACAAATTGTATACCTCAATTAGATGAGAGTTTATAATTTTTAAACAATCTTAAAATAATTGTAATGGTTTTCTAAATGTACTCTTAGCTGGTAAATGAGTTCATTTTTTGCTTAACTGAAATTATTAATAATCTTTACAATGACTTGATGTAAGTAGAAAATACTTTACAAATATTGTTACACGTCATGTCACTTGTCACTCATGTCAACGTTATTGTTTCAGTTGGCTATTCTGAAAACTGTTATTAATTGTCGTCTGCAATAATGTATGATTATATAATTTTGAGACAGAGCGACTCAAGATGGACCAGAAAACTAATTGACTGGCGCTCAAGAGAATACAAACGCAGCAAAGGACGATCACCAACACGCTGGATGGACGACATTAAACGGATATCCAAGAAATGGCCACAAGACGCACAGAACCGTGAAGAGTGGCGAAAAATGGAAGAGACCTCTGTTCAGCAGTGGTCAGAAGAGGTTGCATGATGATGATATAATTTTGATTTGGTAATAAATTACTGAAGCCACCAGAACCATTTACAGTGCCATCTTGGGATTAATTTAATAATTAAATTAGTTTGCGGAAAATAACATTACAGGTACCTACTTTACTGTCCGAAAGCGATCTATATGATAGACGAATACAGTGTGGCCAGCATAAAAATAAAAAAACACTAAATTTGACTTTAAATTCACTAAGAAAATCAACAGAATTAATATTAAAGGTGGAGTATGATTAATTAGCAATAAATTTGATTGAAAACATAGTGTTTATTTGTATGCCAAACAAACTTAATTAAATACTAAAAGTAAAGTAAGAACATCCATTTAGGTAGTAATTTTTTGTACATTTCATTATGATTACTTAACGATATTTACTATCTTTAATGGGATTTAATTACAATTACAGTTGACAATACGTATATTTTGACGTTTCGATTTTTACTTTGAAAATCCTTGAGAGCGATTCAAAATAACCGACATAAATTTGATATGAAAACGTGTAAACTGTGTACAATAGATGGGACAGAATTAGCGTGCTGTTTTAAAGAAGATTCTATTATAACTAAGGGACATTCACATAATTTTGTTAGTACAAAAATCTTGATAGGGATAGAAAGAACTCTTTATGCACAATACCTCAAATCTAAGGACGAAAAACTTTCTGTAAAAATGCAAGGATTCACAGTAAAAGGGTTCCTAAAATATTTATAACAAACAAAATCAAGACAAACGAAGTAAAATAAAAGTAAAGTAAAATAAAAAATAAGTAAAATAAAATAGAAAAAAAGAATCGGAGTATCGGACGACCGCGCAAAAGATGGAGTGACATCCTTCCATATAGGTATTAATCCGCCAATAAACAAGAATAATTGCTTATAAAGAGAAAGAAGAAGTAGTAGTATTGTTTTAATGTTATAAAGTAAAAGGGAATATGTCGTTGGTCTACATAACACATTCGGAGGAAATAAAAGACAAGAAAATATTGTATACGTGTGAGATTGATACAACTGTCTCTCACTGATAGCTGTGGCAAGTGTTGTAATACAAAATATGAAGACTGTAAACTACAACTTCAATATCGGTAAATGTCTAAGACAAGAAACTGCCCTATTTAAGATTGGGCAAGCCATAAGATAACGGTGCAAGACAACTTTTAAATACTAAGATTCGCAAGGAGGCTACCTAGCATATATTTGTAAATTTAGCGCTCATGATGTGACACATTAAAACGAAAACCGAGTGATTAACTTCGCAGATTCGAGAAGTACTGCAAGTGCCAGTTAGAAATGTCGAAGATCCAGTTAAGATCCTTGTTTTCCTACCTATTCGACCGAAACGCATTGTTTACATCATTATCCACTCCGTCAGTTGTGTAGCAGTAATTGATAGGTACTTTAGGTTTTTTGATTGAATATTGATTATATCTATGATGTGTAACGATAAATATTTTGCTGTTAGAGTGTAACCATTTGAAAACCATTATATATTAAAAAAAAACCGCCAATACGTCCTCTCTAACACAATTTAAGAACTGATTAAGTGCCACAGACATCCAGTAGATATGTTAACATATTTTAATTAACCAATACTCATTGTTAGCATTTAGTAATTTATATTTTTATACATTTTTAATTTTATACTGGTAGACGAAGAAACATTTTGATAAACATACATATACCAACTTTTGATATAATATTTGTTATTTTTTATGTACAGTATGACAATTTTTAGTGTATTTTTGGGTAGTTTCGCTTTATTAAACAGTAAAGGGACGAGATTTAAATAAATATTAATATGAAACTACAGAAAACCTGTGGAATTTACAGAGGTATTAGTTATTTCTTTAGAAATCCGTTACTTGTCATCTAATTTGACGTTGACATTTTAGTATAACGTTGCCAGATTTTTTCGATAGTAGAGAATGAAGGGAATTATGAAATGATGAAAATGTAAGGTTATTATTTTATAAATTCACCTGTTTAGAGGTACTCTAGGCATTTTAATAACGCCAGAAGTTATAATAAAACTCAAATAAATGTATTGTATTTTTTAAACTAATTTTCGATTACTATTTTGTTTAATATGATATCGTCGGCATGAGTCCTTCTATTTTTATGGGCTCTAGATTTCTTTTCTAGTTGGGTCTCTATTTGTATGGAATCGAAGGTTACCCTCAGATACACAAATGTCAATTATATTTTCTCTCTGATTTTTTTTTTCTGTATTATGTTCCAAATTAAGAAAGCATTATCTGTGGTCCTTCTTCTCCTTATAAATGCTGGTTATACTTCTTTCGTTCTGCTCTTTACTTTTTTTTAGTATATTTATCATAACTTTCGTATGAAATTTAAATATACTAAATACCATAAATAAATACTAGGTATAGCAAGCTCCTTAATATCTGCTTTTATATTCTGGTACTATACTTGTCCTCTTTCTCATTTTCCTAATTCCGCATATTGCCTTTGCGATTTCCTATAATATTTGTTTGAATTCATTGATTACATAGAGTAAGTAGGTAAAAATAATAAAAAAGATTCAAAAACTAACGCTAGGAAATTATATATACTGTGACAACGTAGAAATCTCCTTAATGTCTGGCAAAGGACAAAGGAAGGGAGTAATACTAAAGTAATTGTTTTCGTAATGCTCATTTAGCACGTACTTTTAATCACGTAATCTTTATAACTATCCACAATCTTCTAATTTTTGTCATATTATACCAATATTCGTACTTATTTCGCTCAATTGTTGATGTTATTTTATGACGTAACGACATCAAAGCTTTGTACCTATAGTTATAACTAAACATACTTCTTATATTCTAAAGTTTGTCGCCCATACAGGATTATAAACTTAAGTGATAAGGTACAAGTTAATTATTTTCATAGTAGATCTTAAAACATTGAAAATCTATAAAAAAATATTTTTCAGATTTACAACAATGTTGTTAAAAGTATAATTGTTCTAAAAATAAATATTTTCAATAATTAAAAATAAATACAGATGTTTTATAATTTTTCTAAAAAGTAATAATCATCAATAATGTAATCTGCAGTGCTATATTGACAAATATTTCGACTGTATTTGAACTCAAGGTAATATATTTCGTTTTATGCGATAAAATACATTGTTTATGTGTATGGAGCCATCAACGATCATAATTAGGGTGGGCTATTAAATCCCTTATTTATAATGCTTGTTAATGCGTTATATGTTGTGACACGTAAAATGGTGGACAGCGTTTGAGACATACAAAATGAGTAAGACCGCGTTGCTCAGAAGAATCGAAAGAGATGTGGGCGTGGTTCTTCGGATCTTTACTAACACACAAACAAAAGAAAATACGGGATGTACCCCTTAAAAAAATCCCTTACACTGCACTAGACTGGCTACATGTAGCAGAAAAATAATAAGATATGATTACTTTTTCATATTGATCTCAAATTGAAATATTTAGCTTAATAATTATCTGCTAAAGCAGGATAAAAAAGGTAAAAAATTACTGTGAATTTCTTTGTTTCACTATACTTGGTTTCACTGTAGACTTGCGCGTTCTTTTAATAGAATAAAGACTGTTTCCCAATAATAACTAAACCATGGTAGATTTCTCAGCAATAAAAAACCAAAAATACTTATGTTTCTACTCCCAACTTTGGTAAGTGAGCTAAGACAGAAGATTTTACTTAACTTTTAATAGTCAACTGGAAATTGTTGATACTAAGAGACGAAGCCCCTAGGCAAAAGAAGCCATATCGCCAGCTTGTTTAGATGCTGGACCGATAATAATTTCAATTCCCACATAGGTTCGTAATTTCAGTCGCAAAAATTCCTCCACTAGCTAAGAATGTTCCACTTAGCGAGCGATTCTCACGCTGAAACATTAAATGTTTATTCCATTTCAAGAAACGCTTAAAAGTGTTCTTCGGAGAATTTTGCGGCCTTTGAAATACGTGAATTAAAAGTTTTTTTGAATCGTTACAGTATGAGAACTTTTCACCTTACCCATAGAGGACATTATCAAAATTTCAATAAAAATCAGCCATATATTTTACCTAGAATAACCACTATGTTGGAATTGATGATATAAAAATTCCCCATGAGGAAATTCACAATTAAAAAAATATATACAGAGCGTCTCATTTAAAAACTATAAATTTCATCATACATTGTGTTAGGAATCACGCCGTATTCGAAATGTTTAGCCTAACAATGCCAAGTATTTTCTTAAATTTTTTTTTGTATCTACTATGAAAACAGTATATTGGACTTTGTGACCAAAGTTTATCATGCTGTAAGTCTTTTATATCTAAAAGCACTTTTTATGAATATATATTTTAAATACCGTATGAGATATTTAGGTGACAAACAAAACTGATATATATTCTGAATATATCATACACTCATCAATTTATTGTGTATCTTGTATAAAAAGAAAGAACATTTTTGGAAACAACAGCGTCTTGTATATCTTCTCAGAAGAGTAACAGAATGGAATCAGTATAAGATACAACTGGGACATATTTAAAGACATATAATGAATTAACTGCAAATGTGGTGTTTACTCGCCAGCCTGGTAGACAGGGGCTATCGCCTTGAGTCGCCTTTGTGGATGGATTGGATACTTTGTCCACTTAAACGATGCTGGATCAGCATCACGAACAGAACAGAAATCAATGTAAATACTTGAGGAAAGCTCACATCCGACGATGGATGAAATAGCTGATGCTGAGCGGCAGTAAACAGGAAAACAATCTGAATTGATAACAATCTGTCAAAAGAATCACCTATTAACACGACAGGGATGTGTGTTATCGCCTAGATTATGGTTACGCTAAAAATATCATTACCTGTAATTGTCAGGATTTTAATCAAAGCTCTACTCAAACTAACACTCCGGTTAATAAAACTTTACTTTATAGACAACCCTTAATCTCAAAGGGAAGTATTCTCTTAGGGACATTGCTTCTTCCTTTACTAATACCTAATAAATACTCAATTTTAAGGCACAAAACAAATAATGTTTATGGTTCATGGACAATCATGAATCATCCTTGAACCCCTGAAAGGAAGAAGCAATTTCTTTTGGAGATTAAGGGTTCTCTATATAGTAAATTTTTATTAGCCGAGTGTTGTGTTTGAGTAAAACTTTGATTATTATCATGACAATTACGTATAAAGTTATTTTTAGCGTAACAATGGCGCCCAACGTGGGGCACCACGTTGCTATTCAATTTCTATTATGAAGCACTCTTCAGTCAAACGTTGGAAGACATACAAGGAGGTATAAAAATTAATGGAATTAGAATATCAAGCATCAGATATGCAAATGATATAATTTTGATGACAGACTTAGACATAGGGCTTTAAAATCTTATCGACAGACCCAATTTTACTTAAGTTACTTATTTAGCTTTTGTGAATACTACTGCGCTGTCTGCTGTCTGAGATATAAACATTGAAGTTGGTTGAGCCCTTGCCTATGTTCAGTTTTGATCCTGCCAATTGCCACGTCTCAGTTATTTCGCCGTATCTGGCTTCGTTTACTAGTTTATCCCGCAGGTGGATACAGTTATCGTAGAGCCATAAGTCGGAGTTGACTGACTTGTGAGTCTTACTTGTTTAAGATCATTTACAGTCTGTGATTCTCCATGCGACCACCACAAACAAAAAGCATTCCCTTTACAACGCAGCCCATACACCGCAATAGAAGAATATCACTATTTAAATGCTTAA